ACTCTCCTCCCTTTTCCTAATCTGCTGGGCGGTATTGACTGTCGTCGTAGACCACGGCGGTCGCCAGGGAAAAATTAACGTTGACTCTAGTCACCGCGTCAAGGAAGTGTGGGTTTGGCAAGATCAGAGGACGTGTCTGAATGGCACTTCGTCGATAAATTGCAAGGCGCCGAGGCGGTGCCAGATGAACGAGCTCAGCACCCACAACCGCTCCCTGGAAGCCTTGTTGGTGGCTGAATACCGCGCTTCGCAAGGCCAAGCGGTTCGTAGTGCTTTCAATTTCAATTATCCTCAACTGCGACTCAGTGTTTTGTAATTCACCGCTAGATTCGCATTCTCGAGGCACGGAATGGTAACTTCACCGACTAAACGCTTCTGTGGACGCAACGCCTATGGGAGCGGTGTCTGCTGCCACGGATAGAATAGTGGCCGCCTAGTGGCAAATCATCGCGACGCAACACTACATGTTGATTCTCCTCCTTCAATTGGGGCGCGAGTAGAATTTGGTTGGCGAAGTACTTCTGGGAACAAAGTGGTCCCAATCAGGGTATGTAAATCTAATTCCAGACATGGCGGGAGCGACCGTGAGACTCTTAACATTCTCCTCTAAAGAAGCGGCCCGTACCGACGCGCCTAGTGCATCTGGATGCGGATAAGGCTCTGGCAACATGGCCAGTTAGTAGGCCAGCGAAATAGATTTCCGAGACCCACATAAAGGGTCTACATGCGGCCAGTGCGGAGGGCAATTTGCTCCCCCATGTGTTGCCTTCGTCCGGGAAAAGCGGCTACGATAGCATTCTTCTGCTCTTCAGCGATGTCGGTGAGGGAAGGCGCTTTCCGACTGCTAGTGACTTTCCCGTCGAACAAGGCTGTTAGGGCCAGGAAGAGTGTCGCGGGGTGTACGGCGCGTGTGCGGTCCTGCTCGGTTGAGAGCTGCGCCAGCACTAGAAGGTCAACGATTCCTGCTGTTTTTCCGAGGCGGGGACATCTCAGCGTGTAATACACGTCGTAATGCCGCGTCCCGACGAGCTTGCGGACGCTCTGGCCGACTTCCGCGACGGTGAGCGTGGAACCCTCCTCAGGCGTATCGTACGGATCGTATCGATTGGCACGCACGCTCAACGGGCCGTCGAAGCCTCGGATTTTGAGTACTACCGGCTGGGCGTGGAGGAAGGGATGCAAGAGGTGGACGATGAGGAAGGGATAAGAGGATTGGCCGCGGGTGCGACAGTACAGGACCGACCAGACATCTGGGTCGGCGATTGTATGCGCTCGGTAAATCGCGCGGAGGAAATCCTGGAGGTAATCGGTGGGGGTGGTGCGGATTTCCTCAAGGGGGAAAATGACTCTCAGGTCCTTGTTGTACTGGAAGCAGTTGTGGCTGAAGACGAACCAGAGGATGCACATGCACATTTAGCATATGACGCCAGGTGCAGCCGAGTTGTATAGCTCGGGGCCCCCCTAATCAGTCTTCGATTGATGCCGATCCGACGTTCCTATCAAAAGAGAGTTCATGATCGTGGCACCCGTAGCCCGAACTTGAGGCTGTACGCCACCGTGATATCTAAGGGTTGAGCTCTAAAAGTGGCTCTCCTTTTTGGGGAGTCAGACGCGGAGTGGGATGTGAAGATATCGCAAGAAGTTTTGTTCAAGGAGAAACATGAGTACTGCCCCCTCCCCCCTATTAGCAAGAAACAGGGGAGGAAACCCAACAAAAAGGAGTTAGAATCCACGTGAATGGCCCTCTGTGTGCTGGCAGGGACGCTGGACGATCGGTGTTTCCAGGGAGTAGAATGCAACCTATCTTATGGCCGGGACGCAGTCGACAGAAAGTAGCATCTTCTGCTGGATGAATGTACGACGTGGCTTGGCTTGGCAACGCCAAATGCGAGAGAAAATATGATTGGACGCCTGACGCAATGTAAATGTTGGTAGCTTGGACATCCCTGCACGAGAAGGCACCAGAGGTCTCCGATGGAAGATGGAGCACGTATTCGACAAAGAAGAACCACAAAGAGTTCGAAATCTTGAACGAGCACATCGGTTGAAAAAAAAGAGGCACTCGGGAATGGGTTATGCCGTTAGAGGGAAGTGAATAATGAAGCGCAAATGGCGGCGGTGAACAACGGCTTGCATAGACAATCCGGTTCGTGGTTTCGGGCGATGATACGATTTTAACGCCAGTTGACGCGGACGTATTAGCGTTTGTGCTGCCGTGTTGACAGCAGAATAGAAAAGAAATCACAGAGAAGCATAGAGACCACGTAGATAGGTAGCAGACGCCGAGCCCTAGTGTGAAAAAAAAAAAAAAAAATGCGCGCCTCGTGCGCCCAGCATTACATAATGATGCCCAAGGCATCGTTTGGAATATGTTAGGTCTGCCTGGGCGAATTGAACGCCCGTGTATCACCTACCGCCCAAAGGCACACATGACCCGAATGGTCGGCAGTGAGCCGCAGGAATTGACGCAAAGTGTGGTCGGAGGAGAGTAAGCCGGGTGTAACGCCAGCCTGATTTTTGTGCGGTACGTGGCTTTCACCTAGAGGAAGTTCATCAGGAAGAATACAAAGAAGTGGAGTTTGACCAGACTAATTTGCCGCTCTTCTTGAGCTCGGTCTGCACTGCCCAGAATCAATCTCTACATGCATCCCTGAATGGAGGGAGGTGGTTAGCGTTGACTTACAGTAGCGGCAAAAAGAAATGGACATGGCCATCTGAGCTCATTTGTGGGCCGAATCACTTCAAATAAAATTGTGGCATCAACATTGGGCAATTTAAGGGTTGTATAGACAGAAATAATACTATCATCCCTACCTCAATCACTGCATTCAGACCCCCCGTAGGCACAGGTCTGCCGGATCCAGATAGGCAGATGCATAGGCAGACCAGTGTGCCGACCCTTGCCGATCCGTCTGCCCATCCCTGCCGAGGTTGGTTTACGTATTCCCACCAGAATAGGCACACATAGACTCACGTGGGCCGATGTGCCTAGCTAGGTAAATTCAATAACCGGCACGGTTCGTGCTCGTTCTCAATCCAAACACAATGTTTTAATCGGGCATGAATGGACACATGCCGAATGCAAAAGGCAAGACCGCAGCCTTTGTGTGTGAATGTTTGATTACCAGATAATTACCGAGTGATTATCGCGAAAATCAATCAAAGATACGCCAAGATATGTGCCTGGAGATTTACAGGAGAGTCGAAATAGTAACCTTCAATACAACTAGGGCTAATTGGCTGCCTCATTTCAGCTGCCACCAACCTAGACCCAGGTGGGCCAAAGTCGGCCATGATAGGCACACCACCGTTGGCGAAGATTGACCAAGGTGGGCACACTTTGCCTCGGCTGGGGTGGTAGACCAACTTAGGCAAACATCGGCTCGGGTGGGCACCCCTAGGCAGAGATCGGCGAAAGTAGGCACATCTGTGCCTACGGGGGGGTCTGAATGCAGTGAATCGATCACAATAAATGTATTTAGGGTGTGAGAAAAAATCGATTTTGCTGGCATTGGTGCCATCAAAAATCTTTATGACAGTATGAAAGTACTCGAAAAATGAAGCATACTCCCCCTTTATTCCGAAGGAATTCATGTAGATTTGATTGCACACGAGAGCTCTCAACTTGGTGATTTTGGACAAAAATGCGTCAAAATGGGCCAAAATCCCCAGGTTGCAGCGGGCATTGGGAGCTCAAATATGGTGTGATTCCGCTGAACTAAAGACTGGGTATGCTTTATTTTTCAAGTACTTTCATCCTACGATGAAGAATTTTTGATGGCATCAACGCTAGCAAAGCTGATTTTATTTCACACCCCAAATATTTTTATTGTAATCAATTGAGGTAGGGATGATATGGTTTTTTTGGTCTATATGACCATGAAATTGCTCGATGTTGATCCCACAATTTTATTTGAAGTGATTCGGCCCATAAATGAGCTCAGATGGCCATGTCCACTTCTTTTTGCCGCCACTGTACGTCCCGTAATGAAAAAGGATTCAGCGTTCAAGAACAACGCGCGGAATACCCGGAATGGACGATGGCGCATGAATATGAAACTTTCGTGGAGTTCAGGGGGGAAAATCCTCGCATGAATGTCCCTGGGGCGAATGATAACCGAACGCCCGTCTTGTCCCACGCATTATCATCCGATGGGCCTAGAAGCACCGAGAAATGAATGTTTTGCCCTCAGCCACAGGGATTGATACAATCTGTGGTCCAGAGTGTTCGTTGAAGAGAGTTGAACCCCCTTCTCGTGCATGTAAACGGCGGCAAAGAACGATCTGGGAGACGAACTCCGCGGTTAACGACAGCCTACTACTTGTGATTAGCTGTCGATAAAGCCCCCATCGTTCCCTTTTCATCGAAATATAATATGCGTTAAAGATAAATAAATGGAAGACATGACTCGCGAACCTACAAATACGAAATTGCCTATTCATGAAACCCCAGTGCGTCTCACAGGCATAGCATACCTACATGCCGTCGTATATCAAGGTGGTCACCTCACGAGATTTAAGACCATCCAGGGACATAAACTCGCACAGAGGAAGCGGGGGTTCGGTTCCCTGCGCCAACATGAAGGAATGGGAAGCATTGTTTTTTTGATTCCCCGTCCAACCTTCGGCGTTCGTCAAAGACGTAGCTAGAGCTGCTGATATTTACAGTAGCCGTCGTAAACTATTGTGGTCACCTCGTAAGATTTAACGCCATGCTCGGAGGCATAAATTTGCACTGAGGAAGCGGGGGTTCGATTCCCCCGGACGGCATGGCGAGAGAATTTGCCTTGCTTTTTTGCTCCTTCTTGTTTCTTTAATCCTCAAAGGGAAGATTGCGCCACTAACTTAATCCCCCGATTTGAAATCTCCTCATTAAGGACTCACCCCCGATGAAGCCCACGCATGTCTATCCAACTTCCCTTCTGGACATGTGTCTCACATGCATAGCATTCCCCATCCAAATTTCGCCATTCATCAAAGACGAATATACACCTATGGCAGCCGTCGTAGGCCATGGTGGTCGCCTCGCATGATTCGGACTGTGACACCAAAATTCGTACAGATGAAGCGGGGGTTCGATTCCCCCCGATGGCATGGTGGAATAAGAACCCCGTTTTTTTTATTACAACTTTGCCCATTCGTGGAAGACGTAAAATCTAACCACAGCTGCAGGCATATTTTGAAGTCGTCGTAGACCATGGCGGTCACCTCGCAAGATTCAGGCTGTTAAGCATAAATTTGCACTGAGGAAGCGGGGGTTCGATTCCCCCCGACGGCATAATCGGATAGACTTAAAAACTTTTTGTAACTGTTGAGTCAAGATGAGATTCCCAAAATCACCTCACTCTTCGAGGATTTAGCTACAGCTTCAGGTATATTTGGAAGTCGTCATGAACCATGCGGTCACCTCTCGGCCATGGTGGTCTGGGCAATCCGCGCAGAGGAAGCGGGGGTTCGATTCCCTCCGACGGCATATCCCGTTACCTAATTTTTTGATCTAGGATTAGATATCCATATATCTACCTCTTTATAAAATAACGGTTGTCTGAAGCTTTTTAAACTCCGATTTAAGGAAATCGGGCCGGAGGCTTTGGAAGTGCCCCGTCCAAACCTCTGGAAGCGCTCAAGAAACGGCGCTACCTCGGGGCTTTTGGCCTCATGTCTACCTCTTTATAAAATAACGTCTACCTCTTTTTAAACTCCGATTTAAGGAAATCGGGCCCGAGGCTTTGGAAGTGCCCCGTCCAAACCTCTGGAAGCGCTCAAGAAACGGCGCTACTGTAAGGGCAACCACGAAGGCCCAAGGTACTTGGGGACTGACGTGGGGGATCCAAAGGTTAATTGACAGTAGCTAAATATACAGAGAAGCATACCTGACGTGGGGGATCCAAAGAGAAGAAACTCTGAGGATTCCCACGTCAGCCGTGGGTATAAGTAAGCTACTAGCTAAGACCATGTGACCGGAGTGATCGGCAGATGTCCCGGGCTTGATCACACGCAAGGTGCCATCGGGTCACGTGCCGGTTTCCGGTACCGGTCCCGGTAGACCGGTGACCGGGAGGACGACCGGAAGGGTCGGAGGGGTCGGAAGGGCGTTGGATGGGGGTCGGGACGGGGGTTCCCCTGACATCACCCCCCCTTGGAATGCGGCGCCCCGACGCATAGACCGGATGCGAAGGGAGGGATCCCGGAAGGGCAGGGAGTCGAAGGCGGCAACGGCAATGGTGCGTGGTTTGGCTGGGTATTTCCGGTAGAACTCGGCGACAGCTTCCGGGGCGAAGAGGTCGGAGTGCTTGACCCATTGATTGTGCGAGTCGTCGTACCCTTTGAAGCGCACCATGAAGTAGAGCGACTTCCAGCGCACCTTTGCATCAAGGATCTCTTCGACTTCCCATTCCGGAGCATCACCGGGTGCGTCCGGGAGGACCGGGGCCGGCTCGTCGTAACCGGGCCGTCCCTCGAAAGGGTCGTCTTCCGCGAGTTCCAACTTCACGACCGGAAAGACCGGGTGGAGCCGGGAGAGCCGGGGCGGGAGTTCCAGCTTGTACGCACCATGACCGACGACTTTGATGACCTTGAAGGGGCCAAGCCGTCGGTGCGAGAGACCGGGGGACGGCCGGGTTGTCTGGATGTCCGATGCGTCGAGCCAGACCCGGTCGCCTACCTTGATCTCCGGCGCGGGGGTGCGCCGGCGGTCGTAGTACCGCTTGTACTCCTCTTTGGCCTTGACCAGCGCGGATCGGGCTTCGGAAACGCCGGAGGCGATCCGGTCGCGGAATTCGTTTACCGACTCAAGTTTCGAACGCAGCCCGTTCGGCTCGAACCCCATCCGGGGGAGCCGGCCGGTGTCGGTCATGAACGGGACTGCTGCGTGGAAGAGTGGATGTGGTTGTTGTAGGCGAATTCAGCGGCCGGCAAGAGGTCGTCCCAGTCATCCTGCATGTAGTTGGTGAAGATGCGGATAAACTGTTCCATCTCTTGATTGACGCGCTCGGTCTGGCCGTCAGTCTGCGGGTGGTATGCCGTGGAGGTCGCGGGCTTGACGCCGATAAGGCGCCAGAGCTCGGTGGTGAACTCCGCAATAAATTGCGGACCCCGGTCAGAGATGTACTTTTCCGGCGCACCATGGAGTTTCCAGACGTTCCGGTAGTACAACCGGGCGGCGCCGATCGCGTCGATCTGGGTGTGACACTCCATGAAGTGGGCGCGCTTACCAAGGACATCGACCACGACCATGATCGCGTCGTACCCGTGGGCCTCCGGGAGCTCGACGACGAAGTCGACCGAGACCGTGCTCCAGCGATCTTCGGGAACCTCGGTCGGGTGCAGCTCCCCGACCAGAAGCTTCCGGAGTGCCTTGGTCCGGCAGCACAGATCGCAGGTGGCGACGTACCGGCCGACGTGACGGGACAGCTGGGGCCACCAGTAGTTCCGGGAGACAAGCTCCAACGTCTTGAAGCGGCCGGCGTGACCAGCGACCCGGGTGTCATGGTGCTGCTCCAAGATCCGGCGGCGAAGGTCCTTGTCCCGGGGGACAACAATCTTGCCGCGGAAGTAGAGCAGGCCGGCATCGACGTGCCACTCGTCCGACCGGGTAGACCGGGACCGGCGGCCCGGAACCTTGAGGAGCTCGCGAGCCGCAAGAGCGACGGGATCCTCAAGGTCTGGTTCGTGCGAGAGCGCGTCACGGATGTCCCAGAGGATCGGGATTTCCGGACCGGCGACGACGACACCTTCCAGGGTGCGGACGTGGAACAGATCGGGGCGTAGGAGCGTGACGTCCTCGTTATCCCGACCGGAACCGTGGTCCGGTCGCCGGGAGAGCGCGTCCGGTCGACCCATCGCGCAGCCGGGCTTGTGATGCAGGGTGAAGTCGAACCGGGACAGGTACAGGGACCACCGCGCCTGCCGCCGGTTCAAGTTCTGCGACTTCCGGAAGTACTCCAGGTTCTTGTGATCGGTCCAGATCTCAACGGGTGCTGCGACCCTTCGAGGAAGTGTCGCCACTCCTCGAGGGCTCGGACGATTGCAAGCATCTCCTTGTCGTGGATCTCGTAATTGCGCTGGACCGAACTCAAGCTCTTGGAGAAGAAGGCGACCGGATGCCACTTCCGGTCCGCGCCCGGCTGAGAGAGAACGGCACCGGATGCGAAGTCCGAGCTGTCTGCTTCCACCCGGTAAGGTTGCGACTCGTCCGGAAGGATCAGGACCGGGTCGGTGGTCACCGCATCCTTGAGGTTCCGGAACGCGGCGGCCTCCTTCTCGGTCCAGAGCCACACCAAGCCCTTCTTGTGAGGTCGAAGAGTGGCCGGGCGACGTCGGAGAACCCCCGGATGAACCGGCGGTAGAAGTTCGTGAAGCCGAGGAACTGCTGCACGTCCTTCTTGTTCTCCGGCACCGGCCAGGCGGCGACGCCGGCAACCTTGACCGGATCCATCTCGACGTGGTCGTGTGAGATGATCACCCCGAGGTACTCGATCGACGATTTCTCAAACTCGCACTTCTCCGGTCGCAAGTAGAGCTTATGCTCCCGGAGCCGCCGGAGAACCTCCCGGACGATTTCTCGATGCCGGGCAGGTCCGAGTGTGCGATGAGAATATCGTCGAGGTATACCATGACATCGCCAGACAAGATGAGATCTTGGAAGATGTCGTTCATCATTGTCTGGAAGGTCGCGGGGGAGTTGGTCAGGCCGAAGTACATCACCAGCGGCTCGAAGAGTCCCTGGTTCGTCCGGAACGCGGCCTTCCACTCGTCGCCTTCCCGGATGCGGACGTTGTTGAAGCCCCACCGAACGTCGAGTTTTGTGAAGTACCGGGCTCCCTTCAAACGATTAATAAGGTCGTTGATGAGAGGGAGGGGGTACCGGTTCTTCACGGTCATCGCGTTAAGCGCCCGGTAGTCCTGTACGAACCGGAGCGCTCCGTCCTTCTTCTTGACGAAGAAGACCGGGGATGCCATCGGGGATTTCGAAGGCCGGATCCGGCCGGTCGTCAACCCCTCCTCGATAAACGCGTGAGCTCGCGTTGCTCGAGGGGGGAGATGGGGTAGACCTTGCAGTTGGCCGGTTTCGAATCCGGAATGAGCTCGATGGCGTGGTCCCACGACCGGCGCTCCGGAAGTGAGTCAAACGACTCCCGGTTGAAGACATCTTCGAATTCTTGGGCCCACTCGGGAATTTCTTCCGTACCGGGCGCGGAGTTCTTAGCATGCGCTTCGGCCAGCCGCTGCGAGACGGTACCGGTTGCTCGGATGTCCTCCGGAGGGGAGAACCGGGTGTAGAAAACCCGATCACCTTCCTCGACGAAGTCATCCTCGTCGTCTGAATCTTCCCCGTCGTCTGGTCCGAGTTCCGGTAGGTCCTCGTCGAACTCTTCGTCATCGTCCTCGCTGGAGCGTTCGTCCGTGTCGACGACACATATCCGGGGAACCGGGCCGGACCGGAGCTGCCGGAGGATCCGAGCGGAGACCTTGGCAAGCTTCCGGTCGGCGCGCGCCTCGGCGACACAGGTAGCACAGCACCCAGTAGGGCAGCGGCTCATTTTTACCTCACGTTGGGCCCAATCGATTTCCGGGTTGTGCTTCCGGAGCCAGGAGTAGCCTAGGATGAGCTTCTCCTTCCCGAGGCGGGTGACAGCGAACTGAGCACGCTCACTATGGCCCTTGTAGCGAAGGACCACATCCGCCACATCCCGAATGAAGCCGGCCTCGTTGGGAGAGCCGTCTACATTGTAGACCGGGATGGGCTGTGAGAGCCGGCGGACCGGAATCTTGTGCTCGGCAGCGTACTCCGTGTCGATAAACTCGGAAGTAGCCCCGCAGTCCACCAAGCCGCTGAGCGAAAGCTTCACAGCGTCGGTGGTGGATTCGATCTCGAGAGGAAGCCGGAGGGAGTTACTGCTCTCCGAGGTGGCCGCAAGGGTAAAGTGTTTCGGGAGGCGGCGCTCCCAGGCAGTTTTCTTTTGGGGGCGCGGCGTCCGCGGGAGAGGTGGCCGGGGTTCCGGCTCGACCGGAGGGACCGGAACGACCGGAACGACCGGAACGACCGGAACGACCGGAGCGACCGGAGTCTCGATCGGTCTAGGGGGTGCGTCTATCGGTTCGGTGGATGCAAGAGATATATTGTCACACTTGTTACATAGGACAGCGAAACGATTAGGGGACGCGACAGAGGGCGCACCGCTCACTCTGCGCGGGGGAGAAAATCCTCCGGCTCGGCGGCGGCGGCATGTTCCGCAGCGGCCTCCGTCGATGCCAGACGCGCGACGAGCTCGTCGAGCAAGTCGTTCCCGAGTTGCCGGATCACCTCGTCCAAGACGTCGATTGACCGGACATCGACCGGCGTGGTACAGTCCCGGGCGAAGTGGTTCGGGTCCCCGCAGCGGAAGCAACCGCGGCGCGGGGTGCTACGGGCGCGCGTCCGGTCGACGTCCATCGGGACCGCGGGCGGAAGCGCGGGGGTAGCAGCCGCTCTGTGTTGCGGCGCGGTAAAACGCGCCAGAACGAAAGCGACCGCGACCGGAAGGGTTCCCGAGTGTACGGCCGGTTGGTGGCGACCGGAACCGGTCGTCTCGCGGGAGGCTTCGCGCGCGCGGAGCAGCGACTCGTACTGCCGGTAGGCCCGGAGGCGCCAGGCGGGGTAGTCTCGCAGGTCCGGAGGGTCGCTCGACCCGGTGATAGCGAGATTAATCGCCGGGTTAGGACCAGTCCGGTACTTCGTGACTTTGATAATCGGGTCTTCGAAGCCGGCGAGGTCGACCAGGTCTTCGAAGTCGTCGGTGTACCGGAAGACGTCCCGCGCGCCCATGTGATACGACCGGGACTCAAGGGTGCGGAGCGCGTGGTCCTGTTCGTTCTCCTCGACGAACCGGAGCCGGAACTCTGTGACGAACGCATCCCAGGTCAAGAAGGGGAATGGGGTTTTGGCTGCGTACCGCTCGGCCCATTTCGACGCAGAGTCCTTGGCCATGAAGGACATGGCGAACCGGACCGCTTTCTCCTCGGAGGGGGCGCCGTCCTCGAGGAACGCTTCCGGCAGCAACCGGATGTACGACCGGACAGCGTGGAGGAACGCCCGGCCTTGTTTCCGGTCGCCGTCGAAGACGAACGGGGGGTTCGGCCGGAGGGCCGATTTTGAGCCGGGAACGGCTGGGGGGAATAATCCTGTACCCGGGTCCGGAGCCGGACCGGCAAGGGACGGGGCAGGTGAAGCGGCGCGGGGGGGTCGATTTTTCGTGCAAGGCTCTCGAGAATACCTTCGAGCCTGTCCATGCGGGAGGAGACGGCCTCGGCGGCTGCTTGCGCAGCGGCGGCGGCGGTACTCGCGGCGTCCATGGAGGGCTCTACAGGCAAGGAGGAGGGGGCAAGATTCAGGGTAGGGGAGGCTGGGACGCTATCAGAGGAGTCCGAGCCGTTCACACCGAAGCCTGCAATCTTGACCGGTTAATCCCTTAGAGAGTTTCTTCTGCTGTAAGGGCAACCACGAAGGCCCGAGGTACTCGGGGACTGACGTGGGGGATCCAAAGGTTAATTGACAGTAGCTAAATATACAGAGAAGCATACCTGACGTGGGGGATCCAAAGAGAAGAAACTCTGAGGATTCCCACGTCAGCCGTGGGTATAAGTAAGCTACTAGCTAAGACCATGTGACCGGAGTGATCGGCAGATGTCCCGGGCTTGATCACACGCAAGGTGCCATCGGGTCACGTGCCGGTTTCCGGTGACCGGGAGGACGACCGGAAGGGTCGGAGGGGTCGGAAGGGCGTTGGATGGGGGTCGGGACGGGGGTTCCCCTGACAGCTACCTCGGGGCTTTTGGCCTCATGATCAACTTAAAGTGTGTGCGTGCCTATAAAAACGTACACAACACCAAATTCCGTTTTTTGCCCACCGTCATAGTTTCCGAGGCGCTACTTCACGCGCCAAAAGTGGCGCCTGTGACTTGGACTTACTGCAACTTCGTCAATTCCACCCTCGCTTTAAAAGATAAACTGAGGATGAAATTCTGGACTTGACAGGAACTTCAGCAAAATAAAGATTCTTTGTGTCTTGCCTTGGTCTTGCCCAAATTTAATTCGCACTTCTACCTCTTTATAAAATAACGGTTGTCTGAAGCTTTTTAAACTCCGATTTAGAGCTACAGACTACAAATTGCAATGCATACACTATGAATTTCATGAGCTTTTCGATGGGTTTTGCGGCTTCTAAAAGAAAGATAAGTTTATCTGAAAACTCAACCACACATTAGAGCAAAATTTAAAACCTATCTTCATTACGACCATGTTGGGATATCTAAAAAACACAACATTGCACTGCACATTGTGGCCCTAAACCTTATTGATACTACTGTACATCTCCTTTTCATAGCAAATCATGTCTCTCTGTTCGTCTGACCGATCTTATTATTTGTTTAGTGATGCAAACAGAGGCTTTTAGAAATTCCCGTGGTCAGTAAAGGGAGAGGGGGACCGCGGAGCGGTCCCCCGAGCGCTTGTTCTTTATACAGCTTCGGATCCGCTACCGCTGTTCCTGGGCCTGAATGCGCGTGATGTGGGCAACGATTTGAAATTCCGGCCGGGTCAGCGCATGTTTATTTCGCACGAGCCGATTTGCGACTCGTTTCGTACCGCATTCCCGCAGTCTCTGTAGGGTTTCAACTTCAACGTGTCTCCGTTTTTTGGTACATGTCTAGCAGCCAAGCCTTCGTAGATCAAGGTGGATCAGTTCCAGTATTTAAGGTGGTCGTCGATTATGGAATAGGTGTGGGTTCGATTCCCGCCGAAGGCACGGACGATCCTCCTGACGATTTTTTTTTCGCTGTCTTTGTCTTTACTGTCCCCAGATGTTCTACCAGTGGACATCACACCACCCGTCATGGCTGTGCCAAGTCACTGCGGTTCAAAATAATTCTTCACAGCACAATCACCACCGACTCCTAAATTGCTATCGGTCAAGTTCAAGTGCCGCGCAGTGCATTTGGGGATAACTCCCTATTTTTCGGTGCCTTGAGCAGCTGACTGATCAACTGATGCCGCCTAGCGCGCTTGCGCCGACAATCATATGATGCGGGGGAGATTTCGATCAAAACCAGGCGCACTCAGGCCGCCGCTCCTTGCTCTTCCCCACACGGGCCCCACAACTTCTCGCGGCTTTTTCTTCAAGCGCAAGAACCCACAGCCAACAATGGATGCCAAAGAAGAGAAGCCTCAGCGAGAAGCGCGCTTCGCCCAAGATAGCATGCAGGAAGGCGGGGGACCGATTCAACGGACGGTGACGAGTACGACGAATAACGACACGGAGAAGGGAGGATCGAGTGCGTATGCGGCGAGTACGACGGGGATTGACCACCGTACTGAGACGCACAAGGCGGAACGGCGTCTGCTTTTCAAGCTCGGTGTGTGATGTGGGGCTCTGTTGTTTGAGAATTACTGAAGGGGTCGCGCATTTAGACGTGGTAATCCTCCCACTTGCTGCATTGCTTTACCTGAGTGCGTATCTCGACCGCGGGAACCTGGGAAAGTGCGTCATGTTCACTTTGTTGCTGATAAAGTAAGGATTTACTTACATTGCTGCAGTGCGCGTCTTCAAGGTCTCCAGGCGACCGTTCTCAGAGGCTCTGACACCAACTACAGCCTTGCCTTGTCTTGTTTCTTCAGTCAGCTCTATTCCGCAGTACTACCATTCCTACACTGACCACCGCGCAGTAACCTACATCCTCCTCTCTGTTCCCGGAACCCTCCTCGCCAAGGCTATCCTCCCCTCCACCTCAATCGCCATCGGCGCCCTCATCTGGTCCATCGCGGCAACCTGCCAAGCAGCCGCCTTCACTCCCGCGGCACTCTACGTCTGCCGCCTCTTCGTCGGCATCGGTGAGGCGCTCTTCGGGCAGGCCATGGCGCTGTACTTTACCTACTGGTACCTCCCCGACGAGCTCTCCAAGCGCATCGGGCTCTTTATCAGTGCGGGTTCCGTCGCTGGCGCGTGAGTCCTTTTCTTCCCCTTTTATACCTCCTCGTTCGACCTTGACCTCTCCCGCGCAGCTTCGGCGGCCTCATCTCCTATGGCGTTTCTTCCCTCAAGCACCCCTCCATAACCCAATGGCGCATCCTCTTCCTCATCGAAGGCATCCCCTCCTTCGTCCTCGCCCTCGTCGTCTTCCTCTGCCTCCCCTCGCGCCCCCAGACCTCCGCCTACCTCACTCCCGACGAGCGCACCCTCGCGCTCACGCGCCTGAACCGCAAGAATCTGGGCGAGGGCCATACCGGGATTGACTGGCGCGCGGTGAAGAGGGGAATGTTGGATTGGAAGACATATAGTGTGGCGGTGGCGTATTCGTGTATGAATCTGGTGAGTCTGTCTCGTCTGCATCTTCTTGCGGTAATGTTGAATGTACCAGGGACTTGGCTCTGTAGGAGGCTTCCTGCCGACGATTGTCAAAGGGCTGGGATACTCCAACGCCGATGCGCAGCTGTACACCGGTTCGTCGCGTCTCGCTGTCTCGCTCGCATTTCTAACGCATCCTAATTCTAGTCCCACCCTACGTCGTCTCCCTCGTCTTCAGTGCGTCTCCCACCCTCTATCCTCTCTCCTCCTTCCTTCCTTCCTCCCATCCTCCCTCTCCCTCTTTCTCTTATACCTCTAATTCAATCCGCTCCCTCACTCAAATACACTCCAGTGCTCCTAATCGCCACCTACTCCGACCGCTACCAAACCCGCGGCATCCCCGTCGCCTCCGTCTTCTGCATCGCCATTGTCGGCTGGGCAATCCTCCTCGGCGTCAACCCCGTCCATGCATCGAAAAGCGCCCTGCATGCGAGATACTTTGGCTGCATATGCATCGTTACTGCGGGGTGTACGTGTTCTCTCTTCCATTCCGTCCTTCCCCTTCATCTCATCTCATGATGCTTCTAGATTCGAATATGTGCGCTGCCTTCCTCTGTTCTTTCGTGGATTCAAACTAAGCTAACAATCCCGCACACGACCACAGCCCGCTAATAATGTCCTGGCAATCCGGCAACACCGGCTCCCAATCGCAGCGCGCCGTCTCGCTCGGGATGCTCAACGCAATCGGGCAGTGTCTTTCCGTGCTTGCGGCGTTTTTGTTCCCCACGCCGGAGGGGCCGAGATACGTGAAGGTGTGTACCATGTACCATACTTTTCTCTTCTATTTGCTCCGACTCCTCCCTCGTATTCATTCGTACTCGCCCCCGTATTTTCACTCGTACTCCCTCCTGCGCACACGTCCTCGCTTCCCCTTCCAGCTTTATATTGATTCAATCACTTGTACTAACTCAAGCTCCCAGGGCTGCGCAACCAACCTCGCCTTCGCCGTTCTCGGGCTCCTCCTCTCCGTCGGCATGACAGTCTACTACCGCATCGAGAACAAGCGCCGGGATCGCATGGAGGGCGGGCGCCCGCCGGGGGATGCAGTGCTCAATGTGATGGAGGAGTATGACTTGGCGAAGGGTGAGTCCTTCGTCTTTTCTTTTCTTTTCTGTTTCTTCTTCGGGGGGGGAGTCTTCTTTCTTCGACGTCTGGAGCTGTTCGACCTGTCGATGATGGGAGAACTCTTCCACCTCTCTTTCGCGTTATTCCGGGTAGTTGGCGATCACTGATACCATTGATCGCGCAGGGTTCCGATACACGCCTTGATTCTGCTTCTCGTGCAGCGTTTACGAAAAAATAAAGAAATGTTGGAATGTTTATACTACGAAGAATGTTATGAAAGTGGGATGGATGGAATAAATATATATATATCTTTGTTGGTTTCATGCTTGCCTACCTCTTGGGGCGAGACTGCTTCTTGGCCCTCGTGGAGCGAGAAAGTCCGCTCTCGAAAATTGAACGTGCGGCTTGCGCTTTGAGACACCGTGGCCCGAATCCAGAATTCTTTTTCTTGCGCAAAAGCTAAGGCTTTTGTTGCCGCGGGCACCTGCGAGGCTAAAATCTCAAACAATTAACACAGAAGTAGTCTCAAGCCTCCATCGAACGTTTCTTACTGAGCCTCAGTACAACACCGGAACGATGAGCTCGGATCAGAATATCCAACTGTTCGCATCTTTTTAATTGTTCGCAGAATCACTGATATTCGATATCTCCGTGATTGCAGACGTGGCGTGTCGCTGAAGAACACCCTCAAAGCCACCCTCAGTCCCCTTTTTTTTCATGGCCCACCCACCCCCGGTAGGCACACATATATCACTTTGTACAGAGCAAAACTAAGATAGAGCAGATCTTAGATATTTCTGGCTGGGAGAAAGAAGAAGAAGTCCTTCCACCAGTGAGTATTGACTATTGAATGAAGAACCGACAGTTCTCTTGACATGCGGACAGGGCTCGTCACGGGCATTAGCCTCTCTACGGCGGGGTGGGTATCTAGATCCGCATGGGCCTCCTCCTCTCCCCAGAGACGGTTATATTTCACCCACCACATCCTCGAGATCATTGCAAAGCAGGCTTATTCGGGACCATCCAAAGGGTCGTAAACTGGCAAACACCTCTACTGAACTTGCTCGGCAGGTGGAATCTCCGCATCTGTATGCTGATTGGGCCCCGCCTGATTCTGACGATGACGCGCCTCCGGCGCGAAGACCCAAACGGTCTGATCGCCTTCGGCCTGCTCGCACTCCGGATACTCGGAGCCCGGATGCTCAGATCAGAGAGGCTGTAAATGTCAGTCGGACCACAGCTTGGAGTCCACCTGATTCCGACAGCGATGATGAGCCTCCGGCACGAAGGCCTAAAGGCCCTGATGGGCTCTGGCATCTGGCGATGGCCTACTCTCACCAATACGACAAATATGCGGACCTGAAGGATCTTGAGGGGGCCATCAAGAATAAAGCATCCTCCATACAGCTGATGCACGCTGGGCACCCACAGCGAGCAGCCCGTCTCCAGAGTCTGGCGGCATCCTTCATCCAACGGTTCCAGCGGCTGGAAGAGCACCAGGACATCGACAGAGCACTTCAGAACCTTCAGCAAGCGGTAGAACTGACAGAGGAGAACGATCCTGATCTCCATCTCCGAGTTGCCGGTCTGGCCCTCGCATTCAGCCGCAGATATGACCGACATGGAACCTCGGAAGATCTTGATGCTGCGCTGAATAATGGCCAAGCATCTATCCTTTTAGCTCCAGAAGGGTACCCAGACATTCCAGCCCGTCTGCAGGATTTAGCCATGCTATTTGCAGACAGATATCGAAGAGAGGGAAAACCTGAAGATCTTGAATTTTCACTGGAGAAGAGCACAGAAGCTAGCATGCTGGTGCCCCTCAGTGGCCCCGAACGTCCTGGCCATCTGGAAGCCCTTGCTAGTACCTTCCTTTCCAGGTATATGCAGTGGGGTGACCCAGACGACCTCAATTCTGCAATCCAGAATAATCAAGGAGCGCTAGAATCAAGTACTCCTAAAGGTCAGAATCCCGACTACAACCGCCGGCTTCATCAGTTGGCTCTCTCTCTCGGCCATCGTTATGACCGGGCTAAGCACATAGCAGACCTCAACAGGGCCTTGCAGCATGCGGAATCTGCGGTGCTTCAGACACAAAAAGGTCACCCAGATCTACCTGGGTATCTGACCACTCTCGGTCGACTATATGAAAACAGATATGATAGAACAAAGGATTTACAAGACCTTGATGCTGCAATTAAATGCAAGGGGAAGAGTGTGCAGCTCACTCCTGAGGATCATCCTGATCGTCCAAGCCGGCTCCATGCGTGGGGGATTGCACTTGGTATGCGCTACAAGAGATTCCAGAAGATGGAAGACCTCGATAGTTTAATGCAGTC